AATCAACCACTAATTAGTGTTGAATGGGCTCCGACAGCTAGCTGCTTATGGTATGAGCACTTAAGTAGCAAGAGTAAGAGTGGTGTACGGTGTGCACAGCGTACGAGGTAGGTAAGGTGAGGGCAACATGTTTCTGGTTCTATTGCTCTTGTCTTTCCTCCGTACGGAGGAAAAGGGGGATATCTAGATGTTCGCGCACGGAGGTTCGCGCACGAGCATCATGTGACATAGATACGTGATCCTGCTCGTGCGCGATCGTTCGTATCCAGGACGCGACGCTGCTGCTGCGTACGGACATTTTTTAAATTTTTTTTACTTAGCTAGCTAACTTTTACTACCTACACTTTATTTTTAGCTTTAAGGGCCTCTAAGGCTTCTAGTTAGATTTGTTTTTTTTTAATAGCACTACTAGCTAGTTAGCGTTATCTACTCTAATTAGAAAAAGCTAGTTGCGCAGTATTCTAACTCCCTTAGCTGCTATCTTATAGGCTACCTTTTTAACTGCCTAAAGCTTACTTTTATCTCTACATGTAACTCTAATTTAATTAGTGTTTCTTAGGTCTTTAACTACTACTATACATTACTATTTTATGTGCTTATAGTTTATCTATATTTTTTTTTAATAGCTTATTTAATCTTACTTAGTTTTACTTTCTCCCTGTCTACCTTTTTAATTTTAGATGTGTTAATTATGCAGTAGAGTGTGTCTATTATTGTTAAAAGTGCTATGTTAGTAAAAAAAGTCTGTAGGTTACTAGGCTAGCTGCTTAAAAGTAATTATGCTATAGTAGCGTAAGATAGCAATCTACTAGGCAGCGTATAAGATCTAGCTAGAAGGGTCTTAAATTTGTCTACTATTACTTTATTCTCTACCTTTAGTGCCTTTACTTTTTAGGTAAGTGTTCTTGTTATTATCTTAATTTAGGTTACATATTTTTTTTTATTTACTTTATTATAGCTACTATTTTGTCTTAGGTTTTTTTAAGTGCTATAAGCACTATAGCTAATAAGTCTTTTTTTTATCTTACTTTTACACTTTTTTTAGGTATACTTGTTTCTTTATTATGTTTTATTCTTAGTTAGCCTTAAGTGTAGGTTAATTATAGAGCTTTAGGGGCCTTTTAGTTAACATTAATTACTTTATTTATTTTACTTTTATTACTTAAGTTTTCTTATTATCTTTTTATATTCTCTGCCTTAGTTGCCTTGCGCGTCCTAACATGTGTTTAGGTTAATTGCCGCCCCTAACGCGTGTCCTTTACCTCTAATTCTATCAATTTACAACTCCCCTGGGTCCCGCGCAGTCGTCTCGTCCTCCGGTACTTATCCCCGGTTCTCTAGGAGAGAGGTAGGGGGGGGGGTTTAGGGTTAGGTACCGGTACTTATCTTGCAACCCCCTCAGTCGCCGCAGCTCCGGTCTTCCTCAATTCGCTAAAAGTTCGCCAGAGCTTTTTCTCAAATTCTCAGCTCTCCAAATTGCAGCATGTTGCAAGCTGGTCGCGCATAGGGCAAGTGCGCAAGGGACTCGGATCAGCAAAACAAAAAGCCGAGCAACACGAGTAGAGCAGAAAAAGGATCAATAAATCAATACAATCAATCATCATCCCATACATCATATCCGAACCCATTATTCATCTCAGGAAGCCTAGAAACAGGGCTTTAATCTAACAAGTGCGTTAATTACTTAGTGTTATGTAAAAGACATTATAGATAGCTACAGCATGTTATAAGAAAAGTTTTAAGTCTTATTTAAAAGCCTAAAAAGTAAGCTATATCTAACATTCTTTAGAAGATTTAATCTAGTGTTATTGTTAAGGCATTATGTAGATAGGTAGAGTGTGGTAGGGGCTTGGCAAAAGTGGCCGGCTAACCTGTGTAGCCAGCCAACCTGTTAGGTACGTTAGTAGTTAACATAAAAACACTACTTTTTTTTAAGCTTCTTAGCAAATAGAACAGGTAAGGCGTATAATATGTTACTATAAGTAATAACACCTTACTAGAGGTAGTTGTTAAGGTAGAACTTTATAAGCTTTAGCTGCTTAAGCAACATACTAGATAGTAGGCTTAACATTAGCGTGTTCTTAGTAGTTAGCTTAATATAGTAGTTAACACTATTATAGTGTAGCAGCAGCTTGTCTAAATTCTTTTTTAAAAAATAAGCTAAAGTTACACTAGTGTAGCCTAATAAGAGCAGCTTTTTTTTAATTAACTAATAAAGCCTTTTTTTAAGGTCTAATAAGTTTATTAAAGCTTACTTATTTTTATAATCCTAAATAAGCTTATCTACCTTATAGACACTAATATAGCTAAGTATAGTGTCCTTTTATTAAGTATATATTATAAAGGTAGCAGCTTCTACTATATTATTCTTAAGGCCTACCTTAGTAAGGTCTTTATGCAAAATAAGTAGTAAGTAGTGTAGTTACTTAACTAACTCTAGCGCCTACTATAAGTTACTCTTTTATCTTCCTAAGGTTCTCTTGCTAGGTAGTGCGCTAGGTTAAGCGTAAGAGGAGCTTATAAGTGCGCTGTAGAATAGCTACATTTATTTACTTATTATATTAGTTAGTGTTAGCTTAGTGTGTAAAGTTAATCTTTAATAAGGTCTTTTATATTAAAATAATAATATTATGTTAATAGTTAATCTATGCGCTATTAAGCTACTATAGCTTCTTCTTATAGTTAACCTAGACGTCTGCATCCTCTAGAAGCTTGCAGCTAACTATAAGGTTATAGCAGCTAGTATTACAGAAGACAAAGTAGGTATAGAGGCAGTAGCTGTTAATTACTAAGTTAGCTTAGATATACTTATCTACTTAACTATTTAGTTAGCTATTATAGCCTACTAAAAGTATTACTTTTATGTAGTAAATTAGCGCCTTAAGTCCTTTCTTAATTATACGCAGGTGCTTAAGGTAGACTAGGGTGTAGCTGCTTACTTCTATATCTATAAGCGCGTTTAGCTTAATAGCTAGTCTGCTAGCTAAAATGCAGCAGGGCAGAATAAATTATCTTCTATTAAATAGCTAATTTTATACACTAAAAGCTCTTATAAATTACTTTAAAAAGAAGACTTTCTTTAGAGTAATACTTTTTCTAACTTATAGTTTAAGAACAAGTTTTTGTTAGCTGCATTATAAAAGACTTTATTATTTATATTAACTAGTTGTTTAATAGCTTTTTAATTAGCAGGCTTATTTATATAGTTATGTCACGATTATGCACGAGTAAGGTTATAGAGCTTCGCGGAGGTCTAGTTTAATTACTACGTGAGGTATCATAGTAGGTATAAGACGTTGTGTGAGGAACAGAAAGGTTTAGAAGGAAATTAGTAATTAAATACTTAGCTTAGAAGTCTAAGCACTTTAGGTATAAATTAAGCCTGTTCTAGGTTTAGTTAGTGTTAAAGTAGTTTATACTTAAGTTTATGTCTATGTTATGTTGTGTTTATGTTAGACGTGCACTAATAATACTCTAGTACATGTCTAATACAGTTATGTCTAGGATCTAGGGAGGATACTGTGACAGTACCCCCCCTCTTATTAGGAAGGGAATCCTTTACATTAGTAGTTCTAGCATTAGGTTGTTTTTGTTAGGGTATAGGTTTAGTTTAGATAGGTATTAAGCGTAGAATTAGGTTACTGCAGAGTTCTTTTATAGGGCTTTTGTAAGTTCTTACAACAGTTTGTTGTATCTAGTCTATTTTATAAAGTATTTATAGATATGTTTTTTTTTATTAAACTAGATCTATTTAACGTCTTCTATAACATATTTTAGTTTGTTGTTTATAATAATAGGTTTAGGTAGTAGGTTTAGCTGTCTAGGTAGATAGTTAGATTTAGAGGCTGCTTAGCGCAGCAATAATACATAGAACACAGGGTGTATCTTTATGCTGTTAGGTAGAATTAATTAGTAAGTGTGTAATAAAACTATATAAGCTACTATAAAGAGGCTAAAGTTTTTCTAATTAAGTTTTTTTAATTATTAGTTTATTTAGATATTTCTAGTGTCTAGCTAGACCTTCTTACTAGCTGCATACATAGGGGCAGAGGTTTAGAATTAGTTTACGTACTCTTGTTAAAAAGCTTAAGCTTATGTAAGCTTTTTATAAACATATTTAGATATATTTTAGATCTTATTAATAAGTCTATTTATGTCTATTACTTATACAAATTAATAAGTTAGTTAGGGGGTATTTATAGGTAGTTTAAATTTTATTTAGGGGTAGTATCTATAGTTTGCTAAGAATAAAGATACTTATATTAATTTAAATATTATATTATTAGCTTTAAACTGTGCTATAGCTAACTATTTTACCTAGTTGTCCTACTAGTAGTTTATGTACACTTATAGGACTTATTTTATTATAGTGTTTGTGTTCTTAGTCTAGCTGTTAGTCTCTAGGTAAAAAGCTGTAGATAAATAAAGGATAATTTAAAGCTGTTTACAGAGTTTGTCTTAAAAAGCTAAGACAAACTGCGTACCTCTGTCTAATATAATTATGTTAGGCAGGCTATAGTAAACTTATACATATTAGTAGAATAACTAGGCTATATTAGAGGCAGTTATAGAGGAACATAGTATTAAGTGTTAATACTTAGTTAAGTAATTAATAACTACTATAATATTTATATACTCTTTAAATAGAGGTAGGTTTATAATAAAATTAATTAATATATCTGTAAGGCCAAGATGGTGCTTACGTGCGACGGGTATATATACTATTCTGTACGCAATAATTAACTGTTGGTTGATTATTCGCACCTTTTTAGTTGTATTAGCGTAGTGGTATAGAGCTCTGTCCTTACAATATCTTTCTAAGCTTATTTAAAGATTAAAAGTAGTTTAAGTAGGCTATTATACCTTTCTTAAGAGGCCTTTACTTTACAGTAAGTATAGCAACATAATACATATTAGCGTACAGTATAGAACATGCAGGGCTAGTAGTACTCTCTCTGTAGTAGGTTAAGAGTCTTTCCTCTGCCTAGGTGTCCTTTAACAGGCAAGTTATGTATAATTTAGAGTAGTTTAATTCTTAGTTTGTTAGAATTAGAGATTATAAGTTAGTTATAGTAATATAGCTTACTATTTTAGTTTTTATAGTTAGCTAGTGTTACCTTCTTTAACTAACTAGCGCTGTTTTAGAGCAGGTTTAAGTGTCACAGTATCCTCTCTAGATCCCAGACATAACTGTATTAGACGCGTACTAGAGTATTATTAGTGCACGTCTAACATAAACATAACACAACACAGATATAAACTTAAGCACAAACTGCCTTAACACTAACTAAACCTAGAACAGGCTTAATTTATACTTAAAGCGCTTAGACTTTTAAGCTAAGTATTTAATTACTAATTTTCTCTTAAACTTTCCTGTTCCTTACATAACATCTTGTACCTACTATAATACCTTACGTAGTAATTAAACTAGACCTCTATAAAGCTCTATAACCTTACTTATGCATAATTATAACATTACATTATGTTAAAACTTTAGCTAAGAATAGCCTCTAAATCTAATCTAATAAGCTTAGTACTTATATAACTCTAAGCTATTAAAGTAAGCTAAAAAGCCTTCTAAAAAGCGCTTACTTTATAAAAAAGCTGCTATGTTACAAGCTTTAAAGCTTTTTAAAAAGACTTTAAAAAACAGCTTTATATTATTAAGCAGTCTGTTTCTGCCTTAACTTCTGTTATAGTAGTAGGAACTAAGAACTTACTAGCCTTAAAGCTTACCTAGAAGTCTAGAGATAGCTTAACTTCCTTCTACCTAATGCTGCCTATAACCTATAACCTCTTTAACTTAGTAATAAAATCTAACTAACTCTCTAATCCCCTGCTAGTTAATAGAAAATAGAAAGACCTACCTTCCTTTCTATATAAGCTCTAATATAAACTTAAAGAAAACATAGACTAATTCCCCTTTAAACACTTTTAGTTACTATATGCTTACTTTTAACTTAACTATAACATAACAGCCTTAATTAACTTACTAATAAATAAGGATATTATTAACTTAGATTAATTTATAGTGTTCTTATAAGTAACTTATAAAGACCTAAATAAAGAGTTAACAGCCCTAAGTTGCTTAAACACCTTATAATAAAAAAAAAAAGCTTTACTTTACACTTTACTAAGTTCTACTAACTTATATCTAATACAGGCCTAAATAAGATAGGTCTAATTATAGCCCTATATAACTCCCTCTTAACTAAACTGCAACGCGCTATAGTAGGAGAACCCCTTCTAAACAACCTTAACGCGTATGCAAACCTAATTGCTACTTATAATAATAACATAAGGTTCCTCTCTATATAAGCCCTAATACGCCCCTAAACTAGCGCAGTTGCAAATAAGAACCTTAACATAATAAAAATTAATTTAAATTATGCTCTAGTTAGTTCTAGAAAGTGTAAAGATTATAAAAAAAAAAGTTAATGCTTTAAGTGCAGTAAGCATAGTTATATCTCCTAAAACTGCTCTATTCCTCTTTTTTAAGTCTGCGTAAGTAGCGCTGCTAGCACTTATTAAAGATCCTTACTGTTTTAATCTTGTTCCTATAAGGGCTCTAACTTGTATTTAAGCTCTAATCCCTCTTGCTACTTTTAACATAGCCGCAGCTATAGCA